GTTCAACTCCTTCTATCCAACCAGCTTGCATTTGTAAGGGTTGTCTGACTACATACGATGCTTACCTAAACCTGGCTCCCCATCAACCGCTTTATAATTCCTTGTCCATCCGCTTCACAAACCGAGGCTAAGCATTATGAGCATCAACCACTAAACACACACACACAAGCAAGCAAGAAGAGAGCAATGGCGGAGAGGTTCGCGATTGGGCTAGCCAAGACGGCGGTGGAGGGGACGCTGGTCGCTGTGAGGACGGCCATCGCGGAAGAGCTGAGGCTCAAGGTGCAAGTTCAGCAAGACCTGGTGTTCATCACGGGCGAGTTCCAAATGATGCGGTCGTTCCTCAAGGAGGCGAACATAGAGCGTGCCAAGAATGAAGTGGTGCGGACATGGGTGAGGCAGCTCCGTGAGCTTGCCTTCGACGTGGAGGACTGCGCCGAGCTCATCATCAGCCTCAGCGCAACCAAGCCGTGTGCTTGTATATGGAGCTGGCGCCTGGGCCGGCATTATTTCCCCATGCTACGGCTACTTCCCTTGGATGAGGCAATAGCCAATATACAGGAGCTCAAAGCCAGGGTGGTGGATGTAAGCCAAAGATGCACCCGCTACAACCTCCTCAGCAACTTCGACGACGCCCCTGGCTCCAAGCTGGAGGCCACCACCCCCTATACATTGGCAGCAGCGGCAACATTCCAAGACCTAATGGAGGTGTGGAAGACCATGGGAAAGTTTGGCTATCACATCACTGACGATCTGAAAAGGTTGATTGATTGCCAAGGCAGTGAGCTCCAAGTGATCTCACTTTGGCGAAAATGTTATACGGAACCATGGTTCAGCCGAACCTACGCTCGACACCATTGATCTCTGAACACTTTTCATAAGGATCCGTGTATGATTGATTAAAAAATGCATGATGGGAGCTGTTTGCATGTTAAACAATGCATGACGCGGATCCACATGTAGCAGGATGTTGAATCGTACGGCGTCGACCATAGGTTCGGCTGAACCATGGTCCAGAATCACGCCTCTCTCACTTTGGCCAAGTCCTCAAGCTGATGTTGTTGGGGAACATGGGTGCATGAGTATTCTGAAGAAGGCGTATGATGACCCAGAAATCTACCAAGAATTCAAGAACCGTGCCTGGGTAAAGTTGAGTACACATCATCCTTTCAATCCGGTAAAGTTTCTCAACGACTTGTTGACTCAGTTTAGTACATCTCACCATCACCACCACCATGAGGACATATCCGAGCTCATGCTGCAAGTCAATAAGCACAGGTATCTCATCGTCCTAGAGGAAGAGTTATCCAGTGTTGCAGACTGGAATGCCATCAGAAAGTGTCTCCCGGACGGCAAAAAGGGCAGCCGGATTGTTGTCTCCACCAAGCATTTGAAAATTGCAATTGTCTGCACGCGGGTCCCCTACCAAGTTTCCCAACTTATACACTTGTCTCATGACCGAGGTCTTTATGCCTTTTTCCCAAAGGTACATATAAACTGCAGATACACAATTTATGTGTAATTTTTTATTGGTTATGTAGAGCAATTAGTCACCACTAGCTATATGATTGCTCTACTAACGTGCGGTTAATTTTGTGATACAGAATCATAATCTTAATTTGAGGAAGAATCTAGGTAATAACAACTTTAGTTCGATAGACACTGAGAAAATATTAGTACATTATTTTTTATTACTTTCCACTTTCACTGTTCAATGTATTTGCATACCAACTTACATCATTACTTTCCCCAGCTTTTATGCAGTTAATTAAGATGTTTTTTTAGAATTTAGTATTTAATCATGGAAAACATATGTCTACTCTATGAGAGGAACTTTAAGATATCAGGTCGCCCTATTCCAAATGTTCATTTTAATCCAAGAGCTGGTACCTAGTTATAGATTGAGCATTACTTGTGACCTAGGATTTAATATGCCACCCATAATAATTATTAAATATGTATTATTAGCTTATATATTTAGACACTTGGTGCTGAAGGAACGACATGATATACTACTAACAATATAAAACTGTATCTACTTGTTGGCTACTAGACCGCAAATATATCTGAGAAAAAATGGCACTGTGGTCCGACCAACATTTGCTCAAACTTTCAAGTTTGTTCAAAGTTTTAAGAATATACTTAAAAGTAGGCCTCAGAATACCCTTTAGTTTTCATGGTTGTACAGAAGGCAGTCTTTCTTATAACAATTGCCAGAAAACTACGCGCCTGTAAGTCACATACTCATTGCATGGTAGGGCTGCAATAGGAAATGATGTTAGTAGATTTCCAGCATAGGCGGAGATACGTTATGGCCTGTAGAGCCCATGGCCCCGCAGCCTTGATAAAAAGA